CTAACAGCACACTCAGCCTGGCCCTAACATACCGTCTAAAGTCAGGACGTAGGCTGGAAGAATAAGCAAAAGAAAAAAAAAAAGAATTGCACCATAAAAACCTGTCACAGTAACAGAATTCTCAAGATACAAAACCAGAAGACTCCAAAACATCTACTAACCTACAAGCAAAACCTGAAAGGAAAACAGAGCTTGGGCAAAAATTCAATTACAATGTTAAAAGTTTAAATTATAAAAAAAAAAACCAACTAAACAGCAGTGCTGGAGGAAAAAAATCAGAAAAGAAATGAGAGCAATGGAAGAAAAAATTTAAAAGGGCATTAACAGCTTAACACAATACGTACAAAACCTTGTCCAAGCAACAAACCGCTGAAAAGTAGAATGGACTATAAACCAAAGCCAATGACTCCATAAAAGAACATGAAATAGTAACAAAATCAAAAGATTGGGAAAAAAAATGTAAGATCTCAGGGCAAAAACAACTGACCTATAAAACAGATTGAGAAAAAATTTAAGAATCATATCTGCACACCATGACCAAAAGAGTTAAACTATTTTATTAAGAAATATTGGTATACAAAACTTGAAATAATTTCAAGGAATCTTTAAAGAAAGTTGTTTAGATCTCTTAGAACCAGAGGGCAAAATGGAAATAGGATGGAATGACCAGTAACCTCCTCAAAGAAACCTCACAATGTAAACTTCCAAAAACAGAGCCAAAACCCAAAATCTTCTATCTAGGTCAAAAATTAAAAAAATAAAAAGTGCTGTAAGTATCCAGAAATTAAGAATTCAAGTACTGAGGATCCAGTCAAGTTCACCATATGATGTAGCAACCACCAACACAAAGAAGTGGAGAGCTTGAAATGATATTCCAGAAGGCAAAGAATATCGTTATAGGCAAAAATAACTTACCCAGCAAACTGAACATAATACTATAGGGGAATAAATTATCATGGTTCTTTCGGGTTGAAGCATTCATGGCTGTGGAAGAAACAGATGCCTCATAGATATTACATGCCATGCCATACGTATCTCTGGAATACACAATCTCAACAACTACACACTTATGACTACAGGTGCAAAAATGTCCCTTAAGACAGTTTACTCTGTGGAAGGGCAGAAACTCCAATTGCCTCACCCCCCCACACACAAAAAAAATGCAATAAAAATGAAACACTTGATATTCATAAATTCATTATATAAAAAACCCATATGGTTAAACTATTTTTTTAAAAAAGATTTTTTTATTTTTGTGATTTTTTTGGATAGTCACCAAACACGAATATGCTATAAAAAGTTAACAGGGAAACGAAATGATGACTAGCTTTGTTTACTGTCTTATGAAATTTTCAGAACATTCCTAATTGTTAAGAACACGAGTATTAAGTTGATATAAGTGAAATAAAAGTTATATGAATGATCTTTTCAAGAAAAAAAAAAGAACAGGCCCATCATCTGGTCAAACGGAAGAAAACACAAAAGAGTTGGCTACAGAAATACTAATCGGGAAAAGGAGGTAAAGGTTAGAGGAGAAAGGAGTAAGAGGGAGAAGAAATTAAAGAAGGAATGTCCAAAGTAAAATAAACAATAATTAAGGATAAACAAAAATGTTTATTTAAAGTAGCTCTTTCTATGGTGGCAAAGAACTGGAAACTGAGGGAATGCCCCTCAGTTGGGGAAATGAATGAACAGGTTATGGGATATGAATGTGATGGAATATTATTGTGCTGTAAGAAATTATGAAGATGGTTTCAGAAAAACCTTGTATGAAATGATGCAGAATAAGGTGAGCAGAATCAGATTAACAAGTTATATACAATGACAATATTGTAAAGACAAAGAACTTTCTTGGAGCTCAATGATCAGTTTATTAATCAACTATAATTACAGAAGACTCATGATCAAACATGTTACTCATCTACTGATAGGATTCAAAGTACAAAATGGGATAAAATTTTTGGAAGTGGTAAATGCGGATATTTGTTTTGCTCGACTACTTGTCTGTAACAGAGGTTTTGTTTTTCTTAGCTGACAGGGAAGGGAGATAAAGAAGGTTGATTTTGCTGACTGAAAAATAATAATAATAATAAAAAAGAAACCAGGAGAACAAATTAAAAACTGAAGCTATGTTAATGGAAATTACTTCTCTTGTGTTACAATAGATTTTTTTCCGGCAGTTTTTCATATCAAGATGATGTATATTCACAGATTTATTTAATAAATTGTCTCATGACTATTTTAGATGTTATCCTTACTGAAATAGACAATGAGTCTTTCAGTTAAGAAATAAAGCTACAGCTCTAATCCAGCTTAGTGGGAGGTCATATCAAAGCAGTGGGTAAAGACTTCAGAGATTATTTTTTATAATCTGCTCAGCTCCACCTTTTATGATCCTCTATAGTATCATGAAGTATCCTGACCAAAATTTCTCAATAGATCTTTTTCAGTTCCTTTCTTTATGAATGAGACAGCATGTCACATTGGGTAGAAGGCCAAGAAGACCTGGGTTAAAGTTATTTAACCATTATAGGTGCTCTAAGCAACTCTGATTCTAAATGTTAGAGAAAGTACCATTCTATATTAATAGAGAAGTCTACTGAATCTGAAGTCCCCCAAAATCAGGCCTAGTCCTTATTTGTGCACGAAAAACAAACTGATTAAGAACAAATTCTTATCTTAAGAACGGAAGAAAAAAAAGAACAAAAAAGATGTTCCCTCTTCGTTCCACACAAATCTTAGTTAATTTTCAGTTCTCATATCTCTTTTGTTTTACCACAATGTATTCTTATGTATTTTTTTTTAATTTTCCATGTTTACCCATATCTAGTTATTAGCTGGATATTTTCTTCCATGTTTTCTAAAGTAGGCGCCTTTCTGTTTCTTAGTATTGTTGTTGTACCATCCCATAATTCAACCACAATTTAAACCTTTTTGTTTTCTTTATATTTTAACCTACTACTTGTATGCCACAGAGCAAAAAGCCCTACTTTTAAAGGTAGAGGAATGGTCTATATCCTCATTAGATGTCAGTTTCTACCAGATGGCTTCTAATTCCTGATTTTTTAAAGGCCTTTTAAACCAGATGTGTCACCACACAACTGAAACTACCCTTCAGGGGAGCTACAAAGACCTCTTGGAGCTTTCATAAAAACTCATAAAGCATTTTTTAGGAGAGACATTGAAGCACAGCAGAAAGACCACTGGATTGAGCAGGAGATCATGTGTCTTCTGATTCTGCCTTTACCACTAGCCAAAGTTTAACTTAATCAGATTCTTCATTTATTAAAATGTGGGGGATGGACATAACAAAAGAAGTAAACTTTTTCTTCTTATGAGGAAAATAGAAACCATGAGACCATACTCAAAAACAATGTTTGTATGCATATACGAACAAAAAGCACCCCCTCCCCCTTTCTGGACTACATATAGAGCATATGGCTTCTATTACTCATGACCAGAATAATATCACTGCAGTTATAGCAATTAGGACTTTTGTTTAGATATATCAAAAGGAATGATAACAATACCAAGCTGGGTTTTTGGGGTTTTTTGGATGGGGAACTTGGTTTTGATATTTAATGTAAGTATAATTTTTGCTATTCAAGCCCTTTATGTGGAATTATTTTCTTTCCTATACTTAAGCAGATATATACTAAAAAAAAAAAAGTATTCTTACTTTTAGCGATACCTTTTGCTTTTGTATCACATTCCTTTCCAAATATATCCCAGTCACTGATATGTAACAAGGTATCCCTTGTAAAGAGTTGAAAAAACCAACATATTGACCATGTCTGCCAAAACATACAACATTCTACATAATTCCTCATCTTTGCAAAGTCATGACTTTTTTTGGGGGGGAGTGAGGCAATTGGGGTTAAGTGACTTGCCCAGAATCACACAGCTAAGTGAGTGTTATGTGTCTCAAGTCGGATTTTAACTCAGGTTCCCTGACTCCAGGGCCGGTATCCATTGAGTCACCTAGCTGCCCCCAAAGTCACAACTTTTAATGATTCAACAGTAGTCTAAAGATGTACCACTGATATTTTGTATTTAATATTTTAAAAATACTATTCAGATGCCCATTTTATTTTATTCAAGGCCTAAACTAAGACGATTCTTCAACCAAAACTAATTTTAAACACTGCTTTCTAAACCATTTATAATAATCGCCTCCTCCCACCTCCGCCCCAAATATATTATCTTAAATATTAAATGAAAAGTACTGTAGCAAATACATTTAAAAGCTGGAAAAAGATCTTAAAGACTATGTAGTCCAATAAACTAATTTGAAATGTCATTAATATGTGTACCAGAGCGTATGTATCTCTCAACACACACACACACACACACACACACACACCCCCTCAAGCGCATGAAAATGCTATGTGATCCTGAATAGCTCACTGAACCTCATCTGAAGAAAGGGTGTCAATATAAATTGGTATCTTTGGTCACTTAAAGCTTTCCAAGACCAATAATGACAGGCCTTTAACACACACCTCCCCTGTTAAAAAACAAAAACATTTACATAGGGCTCTACAATCATGTTCACACAAACATATTATACATTGTATAATGCAGAAAACTACTTTTTTCCCCATCTACTTACATGATTCTACAATTAATCAATGACCATGTTTCCCTAAGCCAAATGAATAGTTCATGTTCTATAAGCACCAAACAAGTTATGTGTGAGGAATTACTCAGACAACATTTTTGGAAACTGGCATAAAAAGGTACAGGAAAAAAGACATAAAATCACACATATTCTAGTCTTTTTCAATAAGACTGGGGAAAAAATGTCACAAATTAAAATTTTAAGCAAAAAAGTGCTTCTCTATTTTAAAAATTCTGTCATATCTATAGGAACCATATGCAAAACATTTTATTCTATAACATAAGCTTCTTAGAGATCTGAACTTTTCTTTAAAAAGCAAAGCAAAAAAAAAAAAAGAGGGGGACTTCAAAGAATAAACAAAATTGCCAATAGTACTTACTCGTTTGGGGCCACTAAAAATCTTCCTAGTGTTTTCCTTTGATTTATCTCCTTGTTTATTTGTGGTCTTCTTTATGTTTCCAGGCACACCAGGTGAATCCTCTGAAAAGTCCAAAACATCTGCAATGGTAATTCACAACCAGCAAATTCTACCAGTTTAATTTAATTATCTACTAAATAAAATAATTACTATGAAGAAATATGAAGACAGAGAAAGAAATGTATATAAGTGGCTTTTATTATACATGGATATCGATGCAAGGCATCACATTTATTTTTAGTCATCGCCAGAGGGGGAAAAAAACCCATTCAGAATTAAACCTTCCTTTGTAAGAAAAACAAGCAAATACAGGGGATACAGTGAACATAACTAACAAACCAAACAACACTGTGACCTAGCAGTTCTCCACTTCTCTAACCTCTTATAGAGAGAACAAAGCAACCTGAGTCCAAGGAGGCCTATTCCCAAAATAAAGCACAAGAGTTTCATTTTAAATCTCTATAGAAAAAGCATGACAGTGGAGAGAATACTGTACTTAAGAGTCAGGAAGGTCTGAGTTCAAAATACAGTTCATATCATTCTCTCTCTACTACTTCCTAATCAACAAGACTACAGCAACTTCTAAATATTAAACTTACTAAATTACAGACTAGAGGGTTTGGGTTTGTTCTGTGTGTACTGAGGGAAATTCTCACACAAAGGTATTAACATAAACATTTATATCTACATTTGCACTATATTGCACCACACACACACACACTCTCTCTCTCTCTCTCTCTCTCTCTCTCTCTCTCTCTCTCTCTCTCTGCAAGGGAAGGAGAGGGACCAGGGTGTGTCTGGATGGAGTAAACTCTTATCTACCAATCTGCAAGTCCCAGTCTTATGAGCTACCCGGTATGCTGCTGAGTACTAAGTAAGTGACTTAAGTATCTCCAGGTCTTTCTGACTCCGGAAGTGGATGGGCTTTTTATCTACTATAAGCACTCCATACCCCACGCACAGATACACAACACAGGCTAGGGATACCAATGTCTAAAGAGTTTTTTTTTCTTTTTTAAAAATGAAAAACACTATGAAAGGCAGAAAAATTAAACTGGCCCTAACCCTGAAAAATCTGGCAACACGTTTTGTTATGGTCAGGCTGAGAGGTTCCATAAGCCATGCTGGCAAGCGTGTCCATTTAAACCATTACATTTAATCTTCCAAAATAAAAAATGTGAGACAAGAGAACCAGTAAGGTACAGTGGAAAGAGCATTAGTTATAGAGTCAGAGGATCTAGATTAAATTAAATCCTACATCATGATTATGCTTTGAAGTCCCTTCCAGCTCTAGATCCATGATCCTATGAATTTTGACAAAATGCATAATTTATTCTGAAGGACCCTTAATTAATATATGATCTAAGGCAATATGGCAGATTTTTAATTGTGCTTGGTCTCCCTAACTCAAATATTTCCTTTTTCCAGTCTACCTTCTACTCAGCAGTCAAAATGATCTTCTTGGTCCCCTCCTACCTTTTCAGTTTTCTTACACATTACTCAGCCCTCCAGTACACGATCATACAGTGACACTAGCCTCCTAGCTATTCCTCATACAGAACACACCATTTGTGACTCACTGAATTTTCACTGGCTGACCCCCATACATCCAACCATACGTGGAACGCTTTCACTGCTCATCTCCACACCTCCTTGGTTTCCTTCAAGTGCCAGCTAAAATTACATTTCCTATGAGAAACCTTTCCCAATTTCCCATAATGCTAGTGCCTTCCCTCTGTTGATTATCTCCAATTTACCCTACCTAGCTTGTCTGTACGTCATTTTTACACGCTGTCTCTCCTATTAGAATGTAAGCTCCCTGGGAGGAAAAACTGTCATTTGACTTTGTATTCCCAGTGCTTAGCACAATGCCTGGCACACTGTAAATACTTAATGTTTATTGACTGTACTGAAACCCAATTATGCCCCTCTTTTTCTTCTTGAGTTGCAGAAGATATAAAATAACAATCTTCTACCCAAAAACAACTTTCTCCTAATTCAAGATAGGCTGGTCTTTCAAGAGAAAATCTCTTGCCAGGAAGTCTTTTCAGTTTATTATGGCATACCAAAGTTTATACATACTTGCATTTTTGCAAAGAATCTGAGGTGATTTGCATGCCAGGTAGAGAAAGCACCTAGGTGCCCTTGAGAAATTCAAATCACTTAAGCCAAATCAACTACATCCTCAGGTCCAGAAAGAAGGGGCAGTTGTGACTTCTGAGCCACAGTTGGTGATATAGGAAAGGCTGTGTAAAACAGGAAAGGTACCTAAGAATGGAGAAGGGCAAATGTTGCAATTTTCTAAAAAGGGAAGAGAGAAGATTCTATAACTATAAGCTAAACAGAACAGACTATTAAAGAGATAGTTGGTAAACATCTAGACGAGGAATTGGAATCCAGATGAGGCAGCATGGCTTTATCAAGCACAAGTCGCACCTGAACAACTTCATTTCCCTTTCTCACGGGAAATGTTATGGACATAGATTCCAGCAAAACTTCTGATAAATAATCTCATACCACTCTTGCGGAGAAGGCGTGGAGTAGACAATAACATAATCGGATGGATTTAGAACCAGCATCAATCCCAGTGATCTGTGCTAGGCCCTCTTTGACATGTTTATCAATGACCTAGATCAAGGCAGAGATGGCAAGGTCATGGCTGACTGGCAGATGACAAAATCTGGAGGAATAGTTAACACTGCGGACCAAGTCAAGACCCAAAAAAATCCTGATTGGCTACAGTACTGGAATGGATCTAATGAGATAAAATCCAGCAGAGATAAATGTAGAGTTTTATTCTGAAGCCCCAAATATCATCAAGTATAAGCTGGGAAGGCCTGGTCACATCTCATCTACAGTACTGTATTCCCTTTTGGACACAATTTCCAAGTAGGATGCTGATAAATGACAGATGGTCTAAGAGAGCAACCAGGGTGCTAAGAGTTCTTGAGTCTATTCCAAGTAAGAATGAACTAAAGAAAATGGAGATATTTAGCCTGAAAAGACTGAGAGGGGGACACAACAGCCATTTTGAAGTATCTAAAGGGATTAGACTTATTTGGCCCTAAAGGTCAAAATGGGGTGCAATGGGTAAAAGTTGCAAAAAGACTGCCTTGGGCTTAATAAAAATAATTAGAGCCAGAAAGTGGAATGGTGGAGTTCAGAAAGTGTCGGGTTCCCCCTCCTCGAGGGACATCAAGCAGAGGCCGGACAGAACACTTGTTGGGTATGATATAGTGGAAATTCCTTTTAGGTATGGGTTGAACTAGATGGGTATGGTCCCCTCCAGATCTCAAATTCTGTGATCATTGGACCCTACACGTATCACAATGGGAATCTTTTTGGTTGGTTTTCGTTCTAAGATATATGTAATAATAAAATCAGTGGAAAAAGTCACTGAGATCTGTGGGGCCAACATCCTAAAGTCATGTTTTCCTATAACCTACAAAACCAAAATGAACTTTCAATATGAATTATAACCAAATAGCTGAATAAAATCACTGGATTAAAAAAACAATAACCTAGATTGGTCTGAGTGTTTTACAAGGGAAGAAGAGAGGAATGGCAGGGAGGGTATGTTTTCTTCACCGAAAACCAGCAACTCAGGGGGCAGAACCCAGGTTACAACATCCTCCAATATTCAATACCATTAATAGTTAGCCACTAGGTGAAGCTAGGGGTAGCTATGTGGCGCTGTAGTGCCTACAGCACCAGGAACTAGTCAGGAAGACTCTTCTTCCCCAGTTCAAATCTGACCTCATTTGGCCTCAGACACTTACTAGCTAGGTGACCCTGGACAAATCACTTAACCTCTATTTGCCTCAGGTCCTTATCTGCAAAATGGGGTACAATGCAGAAAGAAATGGCCAACCACTCTAGCATCTTTGCCAATAAAACCTGTAGACAGAGCCACCTAGAGTCGAACACGACTGAATCAAATCGAATCAGTCTTGTTATTGAAATTCCCTATGCAATGAAATATAAATCTAAAAGAGAAAAGGTAAATATTGAAATCCACATTTAAGATTTTTTCTCCCACTTATATTCCTTAAATACTAATGGTAAAATGAAAAACAAAAACCTGGAAAAACTTTTCCAACTTTCAAGTAGTTTCCCCCAATTCAGAACTGAACATTAACATGCTTCCTTAATTTTAGATGTGAAAATGTTTAAGTTATCAATGGAGCCCATGATGATAAAAAGGAAGCTGGGTATAATGGGCAAAGAGCCAGGCTAAGAGTCAAGAAGATCTGGGTTCATGGCCTGCTTGACATACAATTTCTATATAACTCTGGCCAAGTCTTGTAAACTCTCACTGCTTCAGGCAACTCTCTCCACCAACATTCACAATGGGTGCTCATCTACATTGGTGGAGGGAATTTTCCCTATGAATTTTCTTACAGAAAAATCACAGGTCCAGACCAAAAATTTAAAAAAAAAAGTAAAGTCCACATTCAGATAGGAAAAAGTTTTTAAAAAGGGGTGCAAATTGGTCTAATGATAGCCATATATAGTGCATTAAGGTTCTGCAAAACACTAAACATCCCATTGGAAGTCTGCAAATAATTTTAACTTCTCTTTAATATTAGCATTCATTTAAAAAAATCACTTACCTGGATTTGCATTAGATTGACTATCCTGGGAATAATTATCATTGCTTTCTGTGGGAGGTTGAAAGGAGACAGATGGTGCTGATTTAGTTCTTTTTTTGCTTGCTTTTCTTTCCAATTGCCAATCATCCTCATCCTCATCCTCACTTTCACTGAGATCATCAAATCCAAAATATTTAATTTTGTAATTAGAACTTCCAGAGCCTCCTTCATCAACCTTTGCCTCATCATTGTCTTCAAACCCAAAAAATTCAAGTTTAACATCCTTTTTGGATTTGGTATTGCTAGGTCGATGTCTAGTGGTGGTCTTGGTGGTAGCTATATCTGTCTTCTTTCTTAGGCGGCCAGCTTCACCCAAGTCAGTAGGAGCTGCTGCAGTGAATTCATCCATGCTCCGCTCCATTGTATCCTGTATGGTGACATTACAAACTGATAGGCAAGACGGATGCAGAATAGTGTAGTCTCTAGTCCGTCCTACAGTCCCTCTGAAACTGGTCCCACAACTTACACCAACTTTCCGAACTGGATTCAGACCATCTTGATTTGACTCATTATTTGCTTTGGCTAAAGACTGACTGGTGCCATCCATTAGCTTATCAAAGTGTGATGCCCCTTGTGATGATTTTGCTTTACCGGACCTACAATACGTCCTACAGTTGCTTGGCCTGAGAACACTTTGCAGAAGGTCTTCATTAATGGCTTCTTGCAGATCTCCCATTTCATCTTTACCTGTAAACTCCTCTTTATTCTTTATCTCTAAATGATGATCACTATCCAAACTTAAAATAAAATCTCCTGGTCTGTTATCTGCAACATCATCCCATTCATATAAACCGGTTCGTAGGGATACCTTGGTCTGGGACGTTTCTGATGGAGAGTCTGACCTTTTCCCAATTTGGGAATCCCAAGCATCATATGAATCCTTGGCTTCAACTCTGTATCCAGAAATGGCTGTAGTTTCAGGGCTGGATTGTTTATTGCCACCTTCAGTATGTTTGTAAATAAAGTGACTGTTCTTTTCATTGTCATTAAAATTCTGTACTTTATCTATAAAATGAAAAAGGCATAAATTAATGGATATGAAAATATTAGCAAGAATAGCTACCAAAATATTTATGAAAAGATGATAAAACTCTTGAGATATACACCCAAAGAAATTTAACATTATATCAAAAAGCTCAAGCCCTTATCTTAAAATTTAAATCATCTTTACTTTCAATCATGAATTTATCAAGGGCTTACCTAATATGCCAAGCACTTTTGCTAGGTGCTAGGGACACAAAGAATTAAAAAAATTCCTACTTGTGATATATCTTATGACTCTTAAATTCATATTTGATTTACAATCAGCACAAGTTCCACATAATCGCAATACGATTTAGCAAAACTTAAAAAGGATTATTTGAGCTTTATTCTGGCTGATACTTCTACCACTATAACATCTGAGAAGAGAATGAGAACAGAAATTGCCCCACACAAAGTTGAACGTCACCTTCCTCTTATAAATTAACTTAATACCACTTTCAACAAATGGGTCCTATGTGCACTACACTGATCTCACTTATCAATCTGTACATTTCCAGGCATTCACTGAAAATCTGTTCATCTTTGCTTTGCTTCGGTAAAGTTAAGGCTTAAAAAAAAATCTCCAACAATGAAGGAAAATAGTGAGAACTAATGCAAATCACATTCTTCCCCTCCCTTTTAAAGTGAAGGGATCCTACTACAGCAAATGCACATACTCTCTCTCTTCTGTGTATCCTGCTGGGGGACAGGGGTTTGGGAGGGAGGAGAGGGAAGTTACGGTGCAGGACAGGCAGTGACTATTGGTTTAGAATAAAGAGGCAAATAAGTAAATTCACTAATAGAGAAATAAAGGATATGAACAAACAATTCACAGAAGGACTGTAGTTTATTAACAAATATGAAAGGTTGTACACTAATACTACTGGTAAAGTTGTGAACTATTCAACCACAACTGTAAAGTAATTTTGAATTGAGGAAGATAGTCTCTATAAGGAGAAATAAAGAGGGAATGCATTCAGAAATGAGGTAATCACCAAAGCAAAGACACAGGAGATAGGAAATACAGTGTCATGTTTGAAGAACAAGGAAAAGGCCAAAATCTGGGTGTATATTCGAGTACAGGAAAGGGAGTAATGTGCAAAGATATATGATCAGATCTATACTTAATGAAAATTAAGATGCCTTCAGGACATCCACTTTGAAAGGTCCAAAAAGGGGCAGCCAGGTGGCGCAGTGGACAGAGGACTGGCCCTGGATTCAGGAGAACCTGAGTTCAAATCAGGCCTTAGACACATAACACTTTCTAGCTGTGTGACCCTGGGCAAGTGACGGAAGGAAGGAAGGAAGGAAGGAAGGAAGGGAGGAGGAGGGAGGAGGGAGGAAGGAAGGAAGGAAGGAAGGAAGGAAGGAAGGATCCAAAAAGCAAGTGATGATGTGGGAATGAAGTTTAAGGGAGAACATGGAGCTGGATATACAGCTCATTGAGTCATCTTTACATTGGTGAAAGTTAAACTCACTAAAGACAATGAGAATACCAAGTGAGCAGTGAAAACAGTGAAGAAGAGAGCCCAAGACAGAACCCTGAGATACCTACAGTTTGGAAGCATGATCTAGATCAGGCCTGCACAACCTGCAATCTGCCAAAGGATTTCAAGTGGCCCCTAAAAAACATACTCTACATTTCCCCTGGGGTACCTGAAATCCTTCATCAGGTCAAAGGTTGTGCAGGCCTGATTTAGATGATGAGCTAGCAAAAAAGAGTTGTATCATGAAAACCCAGAGACTGAATTACAATGCTCATAACCCCAAGGATGCCATTGTTAGAAAAAAGTTCCCATATACTCCAAAACATTAACAGCAGTACTTTTTGTGGTAACTAAGAACTGGAAACAAAGTAGAACCCCATCAATTGGGGAATGGCTAAATAAATTGTGGTACATGAATGTAATGGAGCATTATTATGCAGTAGATAGAGAGCCAGACCTAGAATAGGACTCATTTTTCAAATCTGGCATTAGATATTTATTAGCTGTATGACCCTGAGCAAATCACTTAACCCTGTTTGCCTCAGTTTCCTAATCTTTCGAATAAGCTAGAAAAGGAAATGGCAAACCATTCCAATATCTTTGCCAAGAAAATCCCAAATGGGGTCACGAAGACTCGGATATAACTTAAAAAAAAAACCCAACTAAACAAGAAATGATGCAGCTGAATACAGAGAAATATGTAAGGATCTACATGAACTGATATAAAGTCCACAGAGCCAAGAAAACAATATACATGGTTAACCACAACAATGCAAACAGAAAGACTGACACCAAAAAAATTAAAGTCAATACAGTAAAAATATAAGATCAACTGGAACTCCAATGAAGAAATATGAGACGACATCCCCACCTAGCTTTTTGTGGAGGTAGGAAGTTCACAGATGGTGTACACTGTGTGCATGTTTTCAGATTTTTTTCAATGTATTAATCAATTGTGCTGACTTTTTCTCCTCCAAAAAATACTGTCACATGGGAAGGTGGGAGGAATACATGGAATACTATGGTGATAATAGGATATTAGGAAAAAAAATTCAATTAAAAACTTATTTTTTTAAAACACGGGTTTAGTTGAGAAAGGGAAGGGAGGTACAGGACAGCTTGATGTGGGTTTTGGACTTAGACGTGTTTGAAAGGCATAGAGAAGGAAAGGGAAAAAGGATGATTGAGGGGGCAATCTGGTGGAAAAAATGGGAGAACACAGAATGGAGGGCCTGGCTCTGGCAAAGAGAAGGGTAACCTCTGCCAGAGGAAGGGGAAAGGAGGAGTGAGTGGGAGATGTCCTTTTGAGACAAAAAAAAATAGAAGTGGAGTTGATGGTGAATAGGTTCAATTTTTTTCAGTAAAGTAAGGGAGTTGGGGGTGGAGCTAGAAGTAGGAAGGGCTTGAGAAGGTTTGGAATATCTTCTTTGGTAAATGAGATAGGGAATTCATTAGAGAGGAATTAAAGGGAAGCTTTGTTGCAGTGAGGGTCTAGTTGAGGTTGGATAACATCAATTTGTAACGTACCCAGTTAGTATAATTACAAGTTCTTCTAGCTTCATTCTGTGGTTTGTGAATAGGAGCAGGCAATATAAGATGGTAAGAGTAATCCAAGGCTGAAATTTGGCAAAAGGAACAAGAAAAGAGGCATGGTATTTAAGATTATAAGACACTGTAGAGTTGAAATGGCTACTGGGTTATAGGTTGGAAAGATAGGAAAGTTAACCTTTGTCAGACAATGGTCTCAATGAGGGCAAAGCAGAGGATCAGAAGGGGTGGAAGGCAATGACAGGAGTATATGGTGAAATACATTTAAGAAATGGAAGACTTAAGGAGTGTGATGGAGCATCTCCCTGTGTGTGTGTGTGTGTGTGTGTGTGTTTGTGTAAAAATAAAGTCCTCAAGTATAAGGACCAGTTTGCAGAAAGAAGAGAGGGTGAATTAGATGCTGAACTCCCTTAAGAAGGGAAAATGAGTGTTGTCATGCTACATAAACAAAGCGTGGTACATTAATGTTAAGAGAATGTTATTGTGCCATAAAAAAATGACAGGTATGAAGATTTCAGACAAGCATAGAAAGATTTATATGAAAGGATGCTAAGTAAACAATACTAAGAAAATAATAAACACGACTTCAACAAGAACAAAAATGAAGACACTGATTGACCAAGGGTGGCCCTGGAAAACTGTTGAGAATATTGCAGGGGTGTGGCACTCTGGCTGTTAACTACTGCAAACATTCTCATATATGTTACATATCTCGGTTGGTTTTGCTGAGCTACTTTTTTTCTTCTTATTCTTTGCTACAAGATATGGTTTGCTGGGAAGGGGAGAGAGGAGAGATATTATTTGGAAATGAATGTGATATAAAAAGAAAAGCTGCTAATAAAAATAAGAAACTTTTAAGAATAAAAAGAAAAATCTAAAGGGAAAAATTCTTCTCGACAAAACAAATTTAAGATAAAAAAATCAACAATTCATAAAACAAAATGTAGGTCTATATAATCCTCCAACATAAAAATGACACATACAAAGAGACACTGCAATGACAGTTGAAAGTCTTCTACCATGGCTGTCAAACAAATAAAACAGTACTTATAAGGAATCAGTTGAATTTGGGATCAAAAGAAAACAAGTATTTATTGTAAAAAAGAAGGAAAAGCTGATCCTATAGAGGACCAAGACAAAGCTAATGTGCCTCCCCTAACCAATGGTGGCTATTTATAAATGAATTAGTAGGAATTTGTTCAGCTTGTATCCCTCTTATTCCACAGAGGGAGTGAGTTTTGCATCCTAAATGTAAAACTGCTTTAAAATCCAATCTCCCATCCTCTGCCAGAAGATATCCTTCTCTTTGCCAAAGCCAACCCCTCTACATGTACCCCTTGATTCTATCTACTCCCATTTTTCTGCAGACTGCCCTCTCAATCTTTTTCCCTTTCCTTTCTTATTCCTTTTAGACATGTCCAAATCCAAAAACTTTTGTTACCTTACCGTACCACATCAAGCTATCCTATATTTCATCTCCCCTCACTTTCTCAACTAAATTCTTGTTAAAAAAAGAAATGTGCATATAGGTTAGCACAGGGATGGGGAACCTGCAGCCAAGGCCACATGTGGGCTTCTAGGTCCTTGGTATGGCCTTTTGACGGGGCCCAAGTTTTACAGAACAGATCCTTTCATTGAGAGGATTTGTTTTGTGAAGTTTGAATTCAAAGGGCTCCACTTTAAGACCTGGAGGGCCACATGTGGCCTCAAGGAGGCAGGTTCTCCACCCCCTGGGGATAGCATGAGGACAATGAGTACCTTATAAAGAAACATACATAAAAGGTAGAAGAGAATAAGTCAAATGCTCCTCACCACATTTCTCCAAATATAGACCACACACCACTAACCAAATCTGGATTGCAATAAAGCTAACTAGTCTAAAATTAGTAATATATCTAATATCTAATATCTCACAGGCCACTACTCCAGAATAGATTCTCATCACTT